GAGTTTTAAAATTTTTAGTTTTTTTTTTTTCCATCAGTCATGAAGAAATATTTTTTTTATTTAATAAATTTTGAAAACCCCGGGGAAATTTTTTTTTTGTTTTTGGCCCCCCTAAAAAATAACTTTTTTTACACTAATCAGAAGATCCGCAGTAATTAAATGGTGTTTATAATCAGACTGTAATTATAAAGTCACGGAAGACCAACAGAATACAATTAACATGTTATTTTCAGTTAAGCACTGTTCTCCGCTGTTAAGGCCTTTACTTTTGTGAAACACATGTGGAGAAGATAATTTGATTTTACAAGTTCAACTGAGAAGGGTAAATACAAGTATCACTATCATATCACATTTTTTTATAAATGAAATATCAAAATTAATAATAAAATGAATGGAAATACAAATAACACAGTAAAATGTCATAAATGTACATAAAATTATAGTATTTTATGTACACTTCTGATAAAATTTAATAACAAAGGTACCTATAAATTAATTAGATACCTTTCTTATGAAATATGAAATTTAATCTCACTCTTAACAGTATTATTTTAATTTCTTTATAATATATTTTTATAAAGCATCATAAACATAAAGTTAAAAGCTAAGTACAAAAAACAAAAAAAATGTAAATTATTTCACTTTTCTCCTTCTGTAGAACAAATTACCCTCATGGAATCCATCAATATGTCATTCATCACCTGTCAAGTGAGGCGAAAGTTTATGACCTGCTTAGTTTCACTTTAAAATTACATCTTTTTGGCACAGAAGCTAAGATAAACTTGGTTCAAAATATTTTAAATAAACATTATAATTTCTAATTTTCTTAAAATAGGTTTTCAAAAAATTATAATTGATATTTAAAATCATTTCAAAGGGAGATTTTTCAGGTTTTTTTATAAAATGGAAAAAAAAGAAAAAAGGTCAATTTTGCCAACTCAAAAAAAAAAAAAAGATTTTTTTCAAAAATCTTTCCTCTTAATAATAATAAACATTTACATAAAAGTACCTATATTAATGGAATCAAGAAAAACTATTGCAAATATGCGTGTTAAACTTTGCAAAATATTCTAATAAAAATCTAAAGCAAATGGTGTATAGGAGACAGGAAATTCAAGTATTAATTTTTTCATGCAAAATACTCTTACTAAACAAGTTGTCATAATTATTACATGCCATATATATTCATCCTTGCTTTCAATATGGCTGCTACAGCTATATATTTGCAGATTCTTGATAAAATTCAAAGAATCTGCAATTTTATTGCTCCTAACTTAACGTCTTTCACCTCCACAATGTACTTTCCCTGGTAATTGTTCTGGGGAACTTTCATCTATGATACCTTGATTCTAGATTGGCACCAACATTTTTACAGTTGGGATGGCTACATATAACCCAAACTTCTATGCTAAAAGTTTCTTCTATTACATTTTGCTTGTGTCACTCTCTTCTGGTTTCATCAATTTTGATATTGCATTAAATTTTGGAATACCAATGTTTTTTTTAATTCTTATGCTTTTATTGTCTTCTCCCCTTAATAGTAATTTCTCTAACATTCAGTAACATCTTTCATCCTAGTGGCTTTATTGCCTTGCTTGTGGTAAAATGATGAAAAAAAAAAAAATATATATACACACACACACACACACACACACACACATGATCTGTTGGATCACTGACAGTTCCCATTTATAAAACATTCAAGTTCATTTCAACATTAAACCAAATTGTTAGAAGAAAGTTCAAATAAAAAATACTTACTGTATAAACAACTTGTATTTTTAAATCTTATTCAATTAAAATTATGTACCTCTGCAAATTGGGTATATATAAAGTTTAAAATGAATTTTTAAAAATGAAAGCTAAAGGATTAAATTTACTATACCTGGTAACCAAAATACTTTCATGTATTTCAGACAGAAATTATATTAATATTACACTTTTTTTCTTCAGTCAAATCAATACTGTCAGGCTTTTTTTTTTCTTTTTTTTTTAAACACACATTTGTAAACAAAACTTACTTTTTATTTTTGCAAGATTTATGTCAAATTATGTTGCTTAAACATTATTATTAGAGAAAAATTAAAACAAATATTACTTACAGCATAAAATGTTGCTATGGTTAGGAAATGCTTGTATTCAACTTGTTTTTCTGATGTGTTAATTTATTTATTGACAGTGGATTGACTGCTGAACATGTTCATAGTTAAGTATAGTATAGCAGACAACAAATTTCCTTTGGGTTTTGTTTCTCCCCCACCCCCATAAGGGTGGGGGACAACCCCATTAAAACACATGACCTTTATCAGTTTGGACATTCATATTTCAGAAATTCTGCATCTATATAAAAAAAACAAATCAAAATTCTTTTAAAAATAGTCAAGGTCTTCAGATTGTAATAAGCTTTAAAATATGATTAGTAAATAAAGTTTTACTTAATTTTTACAGAATATTATTATCTCATTCAAAAACTTTATAAATTATTCAATTTTAAATTCTACAAAGCAAATTTTGTAAAAATTCATTTTTCATCTAAGATTAATTTTCAAGTAAAAAAAAAAAATTTTTTTTTTTTTTTACTTCAGACAATAATTTTGACAATAAAAGTACTTTCATTATATTTGGGGCATGTTTTCATCACAGTATATTGATTTTTATTGCTCTCATGGAGGTACCTACTTAAAATATTTTTTAAATATGGTAAGAAGTTTTTTTTCAAATATTTAAATTATTGTTTCTTTAAAGAAAGCTGAAATATAAATAAACATGTAAGCAATCACAGAAAGGTGGAAAGAAACTTAAATCATTATGTGCCAGACACACAAATCAGACTTTTACTATTATATACAAGACACACATACTGTTTTGCTGTACAGTAAATAATGATTTGTATGCAGGAAAAAAGGCATCTTTTAATTTTAATAATAATTAAATTTAATAAATTTTTGTATATTTAAAATGAATATTGTAAAAACTGACATTTTTTTCATGACATGAGAAAAGCTATGAAATCAGAAGTAAATTATTTGAAAACTTTTCAGGAATAAATTCCCCAGAAACAAAAACAAAACAAATATACATTAATTTGTGGTAAATATAATTAAAACTTCATTTTAAATAAATGTTATCTTACAAACTGTACGTTGTTTCACAGAACGTCAGTACGATATTCAATATATACAAGTTATATCTTACATCCAAGTGGAAATAAGTGTCAGTTTAGAGTTATTCCCCTTTATTTTCAAAATTTAAAAAACATTTTTTTTCTTCTTTCTTTTAAACCATCAACTTATTTTTTTAATGTTGTCACAAGATTATACATCATAATGCTTAGGTGGCTATCAAACGATAAGTAATCACAGTATACTTTTCAGATCACTGAATAAAAAAAAAAAAAAATGCTAAGTTCACTTTGGAATGAATGTATCAGATACAAAAACAGATCTGACTGAAAAGTACTTTTTATACAACTTCTTTTTCAATTTTGTTCCAACATTATTATTATTACAAACAGCTGATCTTGGTATTTTTTGGCTCAAGATAAAAATTTTTAAAACTACAAAACATACAAAATTATTTCTTACAGAAGAGACAACTTGATAAGATTTTCTTTATTTTATAACAATATTCACAGTAGGAAATTAAATTAAGCCTGACAGCCATTGTAGAATTAACTTAAATATATCTGGGATTTTCTTATAGATTTAAACTGTTTAAGGGAGATTTTGAAATAAGGGAATATATATATACATGCGCGCACACACATAGATTGGAGAAATAATCCAAATGTCATCAACAATAGTCAGTAAACGCTGCATATAATTTCTGTTTTTTTTAAACTTTAACTTTGTATTAGAGTCCTAAAGTAAAAATAAGTACATTTGTGATTTTACTCAGAAAATCTAAAAATATCGTAAAAATTTTCCTTAAATGAAGTTTTCTTTTCTGCCTGATTTTATTTACACACTATTATCCTCATCTTTGTTATTACATTTCAGCCATTGCGCCTTCTGGCTTTCATCAGATCAAGAATTCTTTTTAAGATAATAATAGGTTACTAATTAATTAACCCATACCTTTGGGTGGGTGGGGGGTTTGAGAAGAGGAGGATTTATACCTAATTAGAATTTGATAAACAAAAATTAGTAATGTGGATATAAAGCTTTGGATCAATTTTATATTACCATCAATATATAAACTGATCCCTCACTTTGTGCCCATGATAGTTTCTATACATTTATATTCCCCTTAAAAAAATAGGGGTGATTGATTTGCAGGTTATTTAAAGTCAGAATAAATTCTTCGACATAATAATGATTAAGCAATACAAGCCTTATTAATTTGTCCTATACCTTTTAGGAAAAGGAAGCAGTTATACATTACCCCAAGGGTATTTTCTTGTAAGTGAATATAATGAACCGAACTGCAAATGGAACGCAGAACTTATTCACAATACAAAGCCATTAGTACACCCAACCTTACAGCATCTGGTATTCCCAATGTTCAGTTTTAAATTCGCCGTAGATTATCCAGATTGACATAACCTGATGAAGGCCGGAGGGTACAACAGCTGAAACACTGTGATGATAACAAAAAGACAATGGCTTGCACGTAAATGATGTAAATGTAACATTTTTTTTTCTTCTGTTGTTGTTTTATATAGAATCTTTTTTTTTTTTTTTTGTGTAGGGGATGGGGGTAGAGATAATATTATTTTGTGTTCTTTAGGGATTTATTAACACTAGACTTGGCAATTGAATGACTGCTTAGTTTCCAAAGTCACTAATTGTGCTATTGTGTCGGGTCTTACGTAATCCGAGGTCATTATCATTTGTGATCATGGCAGAGTTTGATAACGCAGCAGTCTTGTTGAAGTCTATTTCCGCATAACTCTCTGTTCGTTTTCCAGGCGATTCAGGAAACGAAGAAAAACTGAGCGGAGACGTGGGCGACACGCAACCGCCACTCGACAGATTGTCAGAACTACGGTTCAAGTCCAACTGGATGTAAGTTACTTTACGCACTTCATTGTTCACCTGATGGGGTGGAGGAGGCGGTGGAGGCAAGGTGTGAAAGGACTGTGGAACTGTTCTTGCTTGAACTTGCAATTGCTGTTGCGACTGGGAGTGTTGGGGTGGTAGCAGTGGCAGTTGCTGCTGCTGTGTATGGTGATGATTGGTGCTTGCAGATGCACAAGGAGATGCTGCTGCAGATGCACCTGACATGGCAAGTGCCGGACTGCTATTCATGGATATATTCGCATAGTTGTGATCTGCAACATTAATCTGTGTTCGTGTTAAAATCTCCGGATCGGACTCTGCATTACAGTCATTGCTTACATTTATATAGTTTGGATTGTTACTCTGATCGGCTTCTGTAAATACTTCTGTATCAGCATAGTTACCGTTCCCATCAGTATTCGGCTCAAAGTCCGTCCTGGGACCATCAATTGCATCATCACAGAGGTTTTCTGTACTTTTTGGTAAATCAAGCACAGCATAATTTACAGCACAATCTTGCAAAGGTACTTCATTGTCATCCACTTCTAATAAGGGTGTGGTACTATCGGTGGCACCCACATTTGTCATCGGCATAGCATTTATGTAGTCGTGGTTACTGTTATCAGGGGCATTGGAAGCATTGACATACAGCCGGAGTCCGTTATTATTTCGTATCAACCCATTGTGAATGGGACGATTTGATATCATCATTCCATTATGATCCGGATTCTCAATAATTGAACTGGGTCGACTATGTAAACGGTTTGTGCTTCCCAAATGGCTCTGATTTGCCCTTTCTTCTTGCCCCGCTCGTTGTATGCATTCCTGGACGAGATTAAATAACTCTTCAGCATGTTGGCATTTGAAAGCAAATATGGCCGGCCCTGTTAGGCAACGGCGACCACTTTCAAATGAAAACAGTTCAGCATCACAGCCGTAACGACGCAGACACCGCACGGGCCATCGAATTGGTTCTTTGCCTTTTTGATACAAAATCAAGTCTTGATCACCGACTTCAATTTTCCCCGCATTTAATTCTAAACCGTTGTCGTCCACATTGTACACGCGGAAAACCCTCCGGTTTTGGTTGACATCTCTCCGAGAATAAATGCACCCCATTCTTCAGCTGATCTGTGAGAAAAACAAAAAAAAAAATTCAAATACTTAATTAAAACTAGTGGGTGGGGAAGAGGAGAATTAACATGTCAGCAATTTGCTTCAATTAAACCATTAACAATGGCCATTTAAAAAAAAAAAAAAACAAAAATAATTCTTTGCTGCAGTTGATTGATTGATTTTGTTAATGCCATTATCAACACCTCTATGGGTTATTTAATGCCAAAATCTAAATATTATAAACACAATTTTATGGCTTCAACTAAACATAAAATTTGTTGTTGGTTATTTTGCTTTAAAAATGCATTTCTGATATTCTACTATAAATATGTATTGTTACTAATTTTTTTTATATAAAAATTAATTTTTATAGGGTGACCCCCAAAAACGGAAATTTTTGAAGTGCGTATTGCCAGACATGAGCAAGTGGCAACACTGCGAGACAGTGACCTTGAGCAAGTAAACATTTCGCCATTTAGAATTCAAGATGAAATTCACAGTATCCCAGCTGAGATGTTGCAGCAGTCAATGAGGAATCTCAACAGCAGATTTCAAGAATGCATTTGTACAGGAGGACGCCATCTACAGGACATAATTTTTAAAAAAATTAAAATTTCATCATGGTTTCTTAAATAGCATATTTTAAGGTTTCAATTACTATGAATAAAATATTTTTCTTCCATCACTCTTTGTTTTATTGGATTGTTAAAAAGTTCCCATTTTTTGGGGGGGTCACCCTATACTTTCATAGTGTTTTATTCTTGTTTGGGGTTCACTATTTGCCCATAGCTGGGACCCTAACAGATGCTACCACCACAGGTCAGGGTGAACCTGGACACAACAGCAATTAAGAGGTGATTCCACGCTCCTCAAAAACTCCAATCTCCTGATCAGAGGCCTTGTTGCTGGATGTAGTTCATTGCCATACCAGTTGAGTGAGTCCTAGAAGTGTAAGGTGAGAATTTCCCATCATGCATAGTTAATGGATTAATTACTACAAATTTAGCCTTGTGTCAGACAAAGCTAAGCTTAGTAAATGCCTGTTAGCTGCCACATGTAGAGGCAAATCTAATAGTGAGCTTCTTCCTCACCAGGTGCATCACAGATATGAGACTTTTCTATGGTGCTAAGAAACTTAGTAAATAGTAATATGAAAGTCAATGGTGTAACAATTTGCTCATTCAAAAAAAAAAAAAAAAAAAAAAATAGATCACTAGCACCTTAACCCCCCACCAAAAAAAACAAAAACAAACAGTATGTTGGGGAGGAAATAAACAAGAAATATACTTTTCATGACAATCAAATTTTACCAATCATAAAAATGTTGTCTTTACATTTGTCTTGACTACCAAACAAAAAAAAAAAAAAAAAACAAACATAAAGATACTGGTTATAGGACAATTGCTCTCAGACAATGGAAAGGGCAAATTCTTTTTTAAAGTTTGGCTTTTACTTCAATAACAAAGATGTTTCGCCAAGTTTATGGGATTATCCTGACCTGAAATGTAAAGATTCGACAGTCAGAATAGCAAATATTGTACAAAACTTCAAATTGTATAATTATAGTAATATAAAAAGATAAATCTTATTATTCAATAATTCTGAAAATAATTAGCTTTATAACCCTCCACCCCACTCCGTTGTGCTTTCTCTTAATTTTCTCAATAGAGGCAATTGTCTGGGGGCAGTTCTGATACCAAAAATACTGGCTCAATAATTTTAACAAAGATGATTGCTTTATGTGGATTTGGGTTTTTTTTGTTTATATCAATTTATGTAAAAACAAATAATTTGGTTAACAAAGCTCTTTGTTAATATCACTATCATGATGAGTTAGAGAAATATAAATTCTGATTACTCTAAAAGAGAATTTTTGTTAAAAATCATTCTCCAGATTGAATCTTAATTGAAGCAACAATTAGTCCTATTAATATTTGGCTTTCTTGAATTCTTGTCACATTACATCTGATGCATGGTTGAACTTTCACTTTGGAGCCCCAAAATTAGTGCCAATTACATTGGTTTAATCTTAGGATAACCAGTTTTACTTTAATTTATTCCAGACAAAATAGTTTTCTTCTTGAAATTTAGCTTCAAACCCAAAAATAGATTTGACATTTTAATTTAATATTTTTTAAAAATCTGAACTGCTGATCAAAATAAAAATGTTTACACTATTTTCATATAAATACATTCATTATTAAAAAATAATCATTATGATCATCTGACAAAAACACTTTTGAAGCTTGTGTGTGTGTGTGTGGGGGGGAAGAATCAATAAATCATGAATAACATCTGTAAATAACTTTTCCACCCACTTTGAAGAGCACAAATTTTTCTTCTGGCACCCAGAACTAGTGGGATAGCACAAGAGGAGTTATTGCCCCACCCAAGAGGGAGGTAACATAAAAGTAGAGTGGTTTACAAAAAAAAAAAATCTAAACAGACAAAATAGAAAAACAATAATTATATATATATATATATATATATATATTAGTATCAGTAGTATTTATTCAGAACCCCATGAAAGTAATGTGGCTGGAATTCAAGTTGGCATCCTATTTTAAACACTTTTCGCACATTGTTTCTGTTATATATATTTTAAGGTAATGGATTTTTATTTATTAATCCAACAGAATTTTATCACTTTAAACATTATTTTTTAGTGGATACTCATTTTTCTCTACTGGCCTTAATATTTGAGAAATCTCAGAGAAAAAGATCAGCTCTCTGGTAAGATTTGAACCAGCATTTTCCTGGGCAGAGTCAACTGTCATTAGATCCGGTGGGCTTTAATAGACTTGGCCACAAAGAACCTTTGTTGACCAAGCAATGTTGAATACTGCTGTTTAAGTGAAATCATTCATCATGGATACTCAAAATTTCGTGTCTACTTGAATATTCAGGCCAGTAGACAAAAAAAAAAAAAAAAAATAAATATACTGTTTAATAAATCAATAAATGGAGCATCTCCTCAAATATTAATCTCCACTAAAGAAAAATGTTTAAAGTTACATATACAGGGTGTGTATATCATTAACAATTTTTTTTTCTTACCTCCACAGATTAAACATGATTTTGTCAAAAGAACAATGAATTGACTTTTTCTAGGCTATGCTAAAGCAGAAAGTGTACTCAATGAAAATCACAGATGCAACACACTTTATTGAATGCATAAAGAGTGAATGTGAATCTTGCAAAACACATCCACCTTTGCATCACAAATCATGGAAATCATATTGAAGATGTTATTTGTTAATATTCTAGTTCACTAAAATGTTGAGAATATGCATTTTTGCCTGTGTGTTCAGACTTTAGTGACATACACACACACAATATATGTGTATATATATATACACACACACACAGTGTGTGCATCTCGTATTGTGCTGCATGACTAAATTTATTTTGACTTCCTGATTTCCTCATGTATCAAATTTAGGGATGGTGCACTGAAACCCACCTCCCACAAAGAAAAAAAAAAAAAAAAAAAGAAAAAGGAAAAAGAAAAGGAAAAAGGAAAAAAGAAAAAAAAAAAAAAAAAGAAAAAAAAAAAAAAGAAAAAAAAAAAAAAAAAAGAAAAAAAAAAGAAAAAAAAAGAAAAAGAAAAGAAAAAAAAAAAGAAAAAAAAAAAAAAAAAAAAAAAGAAAAAGAAAAAAAAGAAAAAAAAAAAAAAAAAAAAAAAAAAAAAAAAAAAAAAGAAAAAAAAAAAAAAAAGAAAAGGAAAAAAGAAAAGAAAAAAAAAAAAAAAATTACTAAACATTAAGGCAATTTCTACTTCAAACCAAGAACTTCTTAGCCTCCATCTCTTACAATCTGTTTAAGTTTTGAGCCAACAAGAAAACTTGCCAAGGTAATGGCAGCCCTATACAACAAATAAGGAGGAAAACAAATGTAATTAATTTTCGAAATTAGGCAACTAACATCCCCCACACACACTCTTACAAATTATAAAAAGAAAATAGATTAATAAAATCATTTGAAAAGAAATAAGATTTAAAGAAATAAGATTAAAAAAAAAAAAAAAAAAAAAAACCAACATCCTGGACATAGAGAGAAATTTATTGCATCAGTAAATGTCAACTTTTGCCCTTTATATATATTTAGGAGTTTTTAATGGCACACAACCCCCACAATTTTTCTCTACAGTGATACAACTTATAGATCTTGTTACAGTAACTCAATAAAATTATGTAGACAGGAGAAAAAAAAAAAAAAATGTCTTTCAGTTTTACAATTATTTTAAAAAACATGACGAATGAATGCAGCAAATAAAATAAAAGATTTTCTAAAGTTTAAAAAGAAAACAAAAATATATTAAGAATTGGAAATAATTCTGAGAACAAAACAGGTTTTATATTTTTTTATAATTTTGTTAGGGTGATTTGGAGTTGAAGAACATATTAACCGAGAGAAAATGAAGGAGGAGGAGAACAAGAAAACTTTGATAAAGTTTGTTAGAATCTAAGCATCAAGACCCAAGAAGGCTCTGCGCGCATGCATGCACACACACACACACAGTGATGACAGATATAGTAGTAGGTATCTGTTTATCTCCCAAGATAATGGTAGCACCCTGTTTGGTCAAAATTCAGTCTTTTGGTGGGGTGACTGGAATGACAACCCCAGAGTACCAGCCTGGTTGATGAACAGATCACATGTACCCAACCCCAGTGTATTATATTTGGCACTGGCTTGGCCACAGGAGTTTCCAGAAGGTAGTCAGTATTGACAACCAACCACCTTTGAGGCTCCATTCCTGGATATCCATAGCATTTTCTGTGTTTGGATATGACCACAAGACAGCAGAGATTTACAAATCAGGGTTTTCCTTCCCCCCAAGACAAATATATAATCAGAAAAACTGAAAATGGATACAAACATAAATTAAAGTAATTCATGACAGTTTTGTAGCAATATTAAACTCTTAGGGGGTTGTAAAAGATTTAAAAGGGTAAAAGCCAATGATAGTGAATACTCCATGTACCCATTCCTTTCCCTCCCATATTTTCTTTAATTTCTGTAAGTGATTTGGTGTTAACAGGAAAGGAGGGTCATTTTCCTCCATTTACCCTGGTGAACATAAAGTGAGGTGAGTATTAAAAGGTTAGAGGGGAACCAAAAACCAAATGACACATGTGTGTGTGTGTGTGTGTGTGTGCATACCACCCAGCAAACAAATATTGTGATAAAATTTTAGCATGGTGAGAAGGAAGGATTATAATCCATCAATGAAATATCAATATCATCACATTGAGAAATCTACCATCCCCACCCCAATCATCCTGCCTTCAATAACTTAAATTATAATTTCAATCAAAAGCTTCTCTTTCAGAAATTCTTGGACAGTTAAACTCAGAATTTTACAACATCCTCCAAACTAAAAAAAAAACTAACCAGTCATCTTGACTAAATGTCAATATACTGTTTTGTTGTTGTTAATGATAATAATAAAAATTACCATAATTTCCTTTATAAGAAACAGTGTTTCTCCAACAGGAGTTCAAATTTAAAAAGAATACATTCAGAAAAGCTTTCTTTAGAGTAAAGCAATTTTTTAATTTTTTTTTTTTTTTTGGTGGTCATGAAGATAAATAATTTTCAAAACAAGACAAATACTTTTAATAAGTAAAAAAAAATTATTAAAGTAAAAACAGCTTATAATGCAAATCATTGACATTTTCAATGCAATTCAATCAAAATAAAAACAAAAAATATTAAAAATACTTACTGGTATCGAAAGACACAACATTACAAATTTCTTTAATTGAAAATAGCGTTACCAAATGCTGTTTGGATTCTCAAGTAAATTAATCAATATGAGCCAACTGAAATTAAAATGAGCAAATATTTCAGACAAAAATAATTGAATCGATTTATGCAGGCAAAGTTAAATTTTTAACAGACAAGATTTGATGTACGTTTCAAATTGTAACATTTCAATTTCTGATATGAAAAATTAGCAGCACCCACAGATTTATTCAGCTTGTCCTCATCTTGCTTGTTATAATGATAACATTTCAACTACAATAGCCTCTATTTTAGCTGGCCAATAGACCAGGCAACATTCTTTGAATTTTAAGCCAAGCCTTTTATGGAATCTACAGTGGGTAGGGAGGTAGACAGTTCTAATTCCATGGCTCCTGATAAAGCATATCCTGCATCAGTTAATTTGTTATTTTATTATCTTGAGGCCGCTTCTGTATGCTTCAACCTGCCTAACACAGAGATTGAACTCACAACCATCAGGTAAACTGAACTTACCAGACTATCATAGAACACTCGGGTAGTGTAATCTTGAAGTTTTAAGCCTAATGTTTATTCTTTCCCAATCAAAGAACTTTCTATATGTTGTTCAATTTTAAGTTGGTCCTACTGAAGATGTTATTAGAACCAAGCATATGCCACAGACTCTAGTGTTGGATTTATTTGGATTCCTTTACATAAAAGGTTAGCATCATTATCCTCTCCCCCAATATACATTGTCAGCTACATCAGAGTATAGCATCTCCAGCTGTTTGAGGTTCTTTCAGCTTTACTTTTACAATCTTGCCTTTATATTCCATTCTAGAATGTCAGAAGATTATATACAGTTCTTGGCCATGTTCTTATCAGATATCTACAAAATTATTGAACCACTTTTGAATAATGTTCTATGGACTGTAGATCCTCCAAATAAATCCTTTTTGATACGTCTCCAATACAAGATCAAACAGACCACAACAGTTTCCAAATTATTATTACTACACATCAGCCCTTTGTACTTATTCATGGAATCCAATTCTTACAACACAGTCGTTACTCCAAAAGGCGTATTCTTAAGTCTGTCTCTGACAACACTCACAAATTTGGCTTCATATTGTAGGCAACATACAATCCATCCCCTTAACACTGGGGAGGAAGGAGGGGTAGAAATTAATATATCAGCTGATGAATGGTAGCTTACATTATACGGATGCTTTTAATACTCTGCTCTGTGCTCATTATTATTACATCCAGTAAGAAGTGACATTACGCCACCTATTACTTTGAGGCCAAGAGTAGAAATGGCATCACAAGGACCCATTAAAGAATTTCAGTTTTCCCCTCTCTTATCAAGGACAGTGAAATGAAAAAACTGTCTGGATTAAATAAAGTGTTCAGTTCAAAATTTCAAGAAAGAGACCAAATATTGAGAAAGGCCATTATGTACAACTGTAACACCCAACAACAACAGATCAAATGAATAAAAATAAAAAAGAAACAATGTCATTTTATGAAATTTCAGTTAGAGTTGTGGGTTTTTTTTTTTTTTTACTTGGCACTGCATTATTGGGGAAATGTATTTTTACCCAAAACTTAATTTGGGGCTGTGCCAAGGAAGCTGTGGAGAGTCATAACATGGTACAAAGAGTTAACAAATTCAAACTTTTTTTTTTTTTTAAAATAATGAACATTAAACTAAATTTTATAGTCAAAATTGTACAATAAAGACAAAAATAAAAAAAATTGGAATGTCCCAAATTGTTTATATCATTATCTTGGAGGTTATAAACTGAAATTAGGGATCCTAATTAAAAATTTTCAATTTTATTATAGTAATGATTATATATGTCCCTTATTAAAAAAAAAAAAAAAAAAAAAAAAACCAACTTCCACAAACGAATTTTTTATAACAATTCAGAAATTTTCATTAAAAAAAAAAAAAAAAAAAAAAATACAATGATCAAATTTGTATTTTAAAATGCCACGATAAAATTAAAAAAATATTTTAGAAATTACTTTTTATAATCATTCCATTTTATTCCTAAATGAATTTAATTAAAAGAAAAACAAATATGCATTCAGTAGAGCATCTTGATTATTTCTGTATTTTAACCAAAATCAACACAAATATTAAGTAGAGGCATGTACAAACACACACTTAAATAATGAATAGTAAAGACCTCCAAAAATTGTTTTAAGAAAAAAAAAAAAAAAAAAAAAAAAAATTTCATATAAATTTAAAAAGATAAATCAGGTGCATCAACATTTTGCAATTCAAAGAAAATGTTGAATTTTTGATAACAAATTTTCACATAAAAGGTTAAAACAAATATCTCAATAACTAAATTAGGTTTGAACAGTATCTTGACGCACTTGGCTAAAAAGACAAAGTGATGTTCTATCCAGCAAACTCATTTTAAATAGAGTAAAATTAAAACAGGACAAATATTAATATTTCAAAAGAAGAAAAAAAAAAAGAAAAAAGAAAGAAAGAACAAAAAAATTACTTTTAAATAATGTTTCCAAATAATATGGCATGTAATAAGTTTTTTTTTGTACAAAAATTAAAACTTAAACTCTTAGTACTGTATATATTTCATACAATAAAATCTCACAGGATTATATATAAAATTTCATCAATGTGGTATAAATCATTTTATAAATACAAAATTATTCAGAAAATAAAAATAAAATTTAGTTCCATGCTTATAACAAAACAAATATATGATCATCATTCATTCGCATTAACCAAACATAAAAAATAAGCAATGGTAATTACATTTTAACAGCAATCTTCTTTACACTTGATTATTTAGGGGAAAAAAAAATTCTCATGTAAATCCAAAGAGTGATTTTTAGATGTTAATTTTTTTTTTTAAAAATTGTGGGGTCTGTAAACCATTGACAAAACAAATGATCAAGTATTTAAGCTAGCAGCACATTCATTTCCATTTGAAAATTAAAAGAATTAACTGTAAGATAGCTCCTTGTCAAAAGAATTGAGCTTCGATATCTGAATGTCATCAAGTTTTGTACTCACAGATAAGAAGCTGTATAAAAATCATGTCTTTGATTTTGTTGGTATGGTGGGTCAGCACATCCAGTAGAAACTTACGCTTCTTAGAAACAAGGCAACCACGCAATAAAGGTCAAACAAAAGTGGAGATGGTGATGGGGCTAAAAGTCTATCTACACAAGTAATTATGGGTACAGTTTTAGAAATGACACCAAAAACGTTGAGCATAGCAGTAATGACTTCCTGTTTCATACAGACCTTTAAAAAGGACGACTCTCCAAATGGAGAAGAGGAGGAACAACTCTTGTGTAGTCGTCACAATGCATGACCTTTTCAAATTGATAAATGTAGATACCACAAAGAAAGTAAAAGCCTTTGCTACACTTGGATTTCATATTGTTACAAATTCTCTGGCATTTTCTAAAAACAGACTTTTTTTGCTTTTTTTTTTTGGTGGGGTCACTACAACACTGATTTTACTGGAATTAGATTTTATGATTTTTATAATAAAACCGTTTTATGGAATAAGTCTACACCAACTCCAGATAAAGACAGTGTTTATGTTTTATAATCAATAGAAATTTTTGAATGTGAAAATCTGTGTAAAAGCCCTAAATTTGGATTATTTATGAATTGGGATCAAATATGTATCAGAATCTGACAGAACGATAAGACACAAATAGGAAATGTTTAGAAATTTAACATGTTTAAATTTAACAGTTTTGGTACTTCTGTGTTTGTTTTTTATTTGTCAGATAGATCTCTGTGTATCTTTGTCTTGTGGTTTAAATATATATATATATATATATATAAAAACACCACAACAACCTGGTTAAATACATTACCAAATAAGGAAAAAATTAGAATGTAATAAACCAAAAAACATGAACCAAACTCACAATAAAACAATACTCAACACAGAACAACTACATGCGACACTACCAAATACAGAGAAAACCACACAACATAGGTAAAAACCCTAATACATACTATCACATACAAACACACCTACACAAATAAAATTGCCAAAATAAACTTAAGACACTAACCTTATACAACATACATAGGACAAAACACACCCACATTAACAAAACCAACATTTACAGATACAACCTAATACAACAAAACAAACCTGACAACCACTACCCATATCAAGAAATACAATCAAAATTCACCACAAATCTCTACTTAACCCCACACAGAAACAACAAATCTAGAAACATCGGAATACGCCTTATAACAAGAACACATTTATACAGAACCATCTAAAAATAACAACTCCAATTTTACCAAGAGAAATTCTGTCTAGAAAATCCAAAACATGTAGGGAGGTTATCTCTTAGAAAACCCGGAATGTGTGGAAAGAAACAATCATCATTTTTTAGAAAACCCAATCCAAACAAGACCAGTTTCGATAACACAAAACCAAAAATAATAAACCTATCTACATATGCACTTATAAAAGGACAAAATTAACTTATTAAAATTCTGCTTAAAATTCTGCCCTGAAAAGCAATACAACAGATCTAAAATAAAGAGAATTTGAACGCAAACTTAAACTAACAGAAATATTTAATAACAAAAACATTTGACTCATTAGTAAAAAATAAATCCAAATTCTTCCCAAACAAAAACAATACAAATGAACTAAACATTTTTTGAAAAACTCTGGAACCTCAACCTACAAGAAAAATCCAAATCATTCAATAACCTCACATACAGACAAAGACTAGCCTTAGAGAACATCCAGAAAAATAACAATTATAAAAGAAGCTGACAAATGCCGCGCTATATTCAGCATAGACAAAATATATTATAAAGCAAAAATACTAAAAAGCACTAGGAGATAAGAACAATTATAAATTAATCAACACCAACAGACAAAAAATATTATATCAAAAATTACAAAACTCTACACAACACACAAGATATTAACAAAAAAAAAAAAAAAAAAAAGAAAAACTCCTAATAAAACAAATTATTTTTATAGACTACCTAAAACAAAATTATTTTATGGACTATCCAGACAAAAAAATCTGAAATTGAAATCCCAGTGACCTTATATTCCAGAAATAAAAGCAGAACCAACCTGTCCATAGCAGACACAAAAATAGTCATCAATATATTTACTAAACAGATTAAGAGCTACATCAGAGACAATAAATCCCAGTATACCCCATGAATTAGGTAAACAGGCAATCTCATTCTGGATTGAAAAACCCAAGAAATACTACATCCCAGATTTACCAAGGAATTCATTATTGATAATATAAAACCAATCTGTCCAAAAAAAAACTGAATTAGGTAAAAAGGCAATCTCATTCTCTGGATTGAAAAACCCCCTCTAACCCAGATTTACCAAAATAGTCATCAACAACAATACTTTTTAAATTTGACAACAAAAACAAGCCTATATAACCATTTAGGTAAAAGGCAGATTAAGAGCTACATCAGATTTACATTATTGATAATATAAACCTTCCTTAACAACCTAAATTTGACAACAAAAAATATAGCCCATGAATTATGAATTAGGTAAAAAGGCAATCTCATTCTGGATTGAAAAAACCCCAAGAAATACTACATCCCAGATTTACCAAGGAATTCATTATTGATAATATAAACCTAATCCTGAACAACAATACTTTTAAATTTGACAACAAAACTAAGCCAATAAACAATACCCCTATGAATTAGGTAAAAAGGCAATCTCATTCTGGATTGAAAACCCCAAAAATACTACATCCCAGATTCACCATTTATTGATAATATAAACCTAATCCTGAACAACAATATCCAAAACAAAAACTATAGCTATATAACAATATTGAATTAGGTAAAAGGCAATCTCATTCTGGATTGAAAAACCCCAAGAAATACTACATCCCAGATTTACCAAGGAATTCATTATTGATAATAGAATCCTGAACAACAATACTTTTAAATTTGACAACAAAAACTATATCCAAATCAAGAGAGAATGACAAATATGCCACAAACTTATCTTATTTAGAGTAAAAGAGAGAAATACACAGGGTTGAATAAGTGATCGTACAGCAAACAAATGCTTGTTATTCTAACTTATAGTGAATGAAAACCTCAAATAACAATGTTATATATGTATTTGGGGGCATAGAATCAGAATCTGCAATTTAAAATTAGAAATTCATCGATAAGTGATAGTTATGCACATTTTTATATTTCAAATAGTGGCAAAAGTGTTCATACAGTATCAATTCTTGCATTATAATACAGTAGATTTTGGTTGTACTTCAAAGTAGAAGATTCTAAACTGTTCTAGAATATTCTCAGTAACTCTATTGCAACATTAAGTTCAAAATTGGATCATTCTGCAGTCACTGTTCACTGATAACGGTTCTAATAATGGCTAGACATAAGGAAATGACTTGTGCTCAAAAAGAACTATTAAGCTATGGAACAATGGAAAAAGTTACAGAAACATCTCCAGTGACACAAACATACCTTTTTCAACAATTGGTACATTTATTGCAAGATTTAAAAGACGTAATACTGTTGAGAACAAAGGCAGACTCGGTGCTCCCAGGAAGATCTCTCCCAGATTAAAAAGAAAATTGATGCAACAGGTCCAAAATAACCCAATGGCCATCAGACAAGAGCTTCAGAATGATCAGAGTTTGTTAGTAATGAACTATGCAGAGACGGTATAAAGTCGTGCTCCCCAAGAAAGACACCACCCCGTAGAGATGCCAGGTTGAAATTTGCAACAGAGTATAAAAGATAAGGAAAATTCTTATTGGGAAAGAGTTCTTTGGACAGATGAGAGTAAAATTGTGTTGTTCGGTCGCAATTCCCTGAATCATGTATGGAGGAAAGACGGTGAAGCATACACACCAAAGAACACCACACCAACTGTCAAATTTGGAGGGGGTAGTATCATGGCTTGGGGCTGCTTTTCGATGTGAGGTGTTGGCAAACTAGCAATTATAAACAGTAGAATGAATGCAGAAAAATATCAACAAATCCTAAGCAAAAATTTATCGCTTTCTGTAGAGAATCTTGGGCTTCTTCCTGATTGGATCTTCCAGCAGGACAATGATCCCAAGCATACTGCTAAGAGTACAAAGAATTGACTTGCTAATAACAACGGTAACATCTTACAATGGCTCAGTCAGTCACTGGATTTGAATCAAATAGAGAATTTATGGTGGTTTTTGAAAAATAAGATCCATGATAGAGGTCCAACAAACATCAAAAACCTGAAGACAATTACTCAGAAAGAATGGGACACAATATCTACTTAATTATGCGAATCGTTAATTAAAGAATACAGGAAGAGATTGATTGCTGTTGAACTTAATAAAGGCTTTGCTACAAAATATTAAATGGAGAAAACATGTTTTTGTTCTGCTGTACAATCATTTTTTAAACCCCTAAAAATTTAAATATTGCTATAGTTTCTTAACCATGGAATATTATTTAGTTTTATATGCATATATTTTTAGTATGCAATCTGATACATTAGATATATTCCAGTTTTGTTAATTTAATATGTTACAAATAAAAATATGAAATATTTTCATATGTACGATCACTTATTCAACCCACTGTATATGGGAAAAATATAAAACCCCACTTCACTAAAGCGATACTTGGACGATAGTTTCATTTTCAGGAAATCCTCATGGGACTATATTAACCAATTACACAATCTACTCCAAAACTTACACTCAAAGATCAAATTCACCCAAGAACATAATTTTAACAAACTGCCATTCTTGAATATACTCATCAGAAACAGAAACCACATTATCACAGATATCTACCACAAATCTATAACCCCACCCCCAATATTTCCATTTCAAGAGCCATCAAGCAAAAAAGCTGTCTAAAATCCATCCCCTATTCCCTAGCACATAGGGTTTGCACTATAGTGGCCAACAAACACCTCTGAAAAACCTGCCTAGCAGAACTACATAAAACTCTCAAAAAAAATAAAAAAAAAAGGCTACTCCACGACACTAATAAACAAAGGTTTTGAACTAGCAGAAAAAAATACCTTTAGACCAACTATGAAACGCAAAGAAATGTAACAACTAACAAATTCTAGCATACATCTCACCATACAAGAACAATCCAGAACTATTTACAGAAATTACAAGAAATCTAGACCTACTTAACAAGAATGATAAAATGAAAGATATGCTAAAAACAACAAAAATAATTAAAAGCAAATGCCAATCAAAAAACCTAAATTCCAAATTTAGCCAACACTCAATACAGTTGTCATAAAATGCAATAAGATGTGGGGTTTTTGATATCATTATAAAAGGAAACTCTTATATTTTTGAAAACTCCATAACATTCACAATTAAGAAAAAAAATTAAACTGCAAAAATGCGATTTATGCACTCAA